GGGTCTTCGTCTTTTCCGGCTGCCTTTCACTTTCCCAAACATTAGTGTCTTTACCAGGGACTTGTCTGTTTGGTGTTGTGGTTAAGTGTGCGGACTCTAATCTGGGAGAACCAGACTTGATCACCCACTCGTCCACTTGCAGCTGCTGGATGACCTCGGGCAAGCCGTAGTTCTGACAAGAGCTCTCTCAGCCCCACCTCCCTCACGGGGTGTCTGTTGTGGGGAGGGGAAGTGCAAGGAGCTTGTAAGCCGCTCTGAGGCTCCTTTGGGTAGTGAAGGGCGGGGTGTAAATCCAATCTCTTCTTTTCTTCTCTTCTTCTTACAAATGGATCACCAAACCATGAAGATCCATTCCCCCGGAGATAAATAGCTGCTTTGGAGAGTGGATTTCATGGCCTTGTACCCTGGGGGGCCGTTTGGTGCAGTGGTTAAGTGCGCGGACTCTAATCTGGGAGAGCCGGGTTTGATTGGCCACTCCTCCACTTGCAGCTGCTGGATGACCTTGGGCAAGCCACAGTTCTGTCAGAGCTGTCCTTGAAAAAGAGCCGTTTCTGTCAAGAGCTCTTTCAGCCCCATCTCTCTCTCACAGGGTGTCTGTTGTGGAGAGGGGAAGGGAAAGGAGATTGTGAACCCCTCTGAGACTTCCTTGGGTAGTGAAAGGTGGCATATAAATCCCTCCTCCTCCTGCTGCTGTTGTGATCAAAGTACAATAGAGTTGCCAGCTCCCAGGTTTGAGTGGGGTTCCCCCCCACTCTTGCGGGCTCCAAACCGCCCCGGCCAGCTGGCCAGTGGGGGAAGCCCTCCAAGCTCCGCCCCCAAGCCACGGCCACCTGCAGCCACCCCCCACCCTCCCTGCTAAAAGATTGAAAGGGCTCCAGCTGATCGGCAGGAGGCATGGGGCCCGCCGACCAGCTGGAGGACCCTTTAAATCTTTTAACAGGGAGGGAGTTGGGCTGTCACTCGCCAAAAGACCCCGGAAAGACCCCTGAAGCAAAGGGGATGGTTCCAAGGAGCGATGTCCGAAGTTAGGGACCAGGAGACGCCATGTGAGCGACACACAACCCAGATTTTAGGACTGTTGTCTTATAAAACGAAGGAGATTATTATATATCACAGGCAGATGCTGGATTCTGCGGAAGGGTACGGCTGTGCTTGGCTATAGAAGGACACAGTCTTAGAAAGATGCACCTGTACGTTGTGCTCCTGAAGAGCCCTGCTGGATCAGACCAGTGAGGGTCCACCTAGTCCAGCATCCTGTCTCACACAGGGGCCAGCCAGTTCCTCTGGAGGTCCAACAACAGGGCATAGAGGCCAAGGCCTTCATAAGAACATCAGAAGAGTTCTGCTGGATCAGACCAGTGGTCCATCTAGTCCAGCATCCTGTCTCACACAGTGGCCATCCAGTTCGCCTGGAGGGCCAGCAATAGGGCAGAGAGGCTGAGGCCTTCATAAGAACATCAGAAGAGCCCTGCTGGATCAGACCAGTGGTCCATCTAGTCCAGCATCCTGTCTCACACAGCGGCCAACCAGATCCTCTGGAGTGCCAGCAATAGGGCAGAGAGGCTGAGGCCTTCATAAGAACATCAGAAGAGCTTTTCTGGATCAGCCTAGTGGTCCGTCTAGTCCAGCATCCTGACTCACACAGAGCTTTCCTGCTTCTAATGTATTTGAAGAAAGTTTTATTGTTGTTCTTTGTTTTTTGCGATATACTCCTCATATTCCCTTTTTGCCTGCCTTATCACAGACTTGCATTTTATTTGCCACAGCCTGTGTTCCCTTTTATCAACCTCACTGAGACTAGCGTTCCGCCACTTAAAGGAATCCTTCTTACCTTTTACAGCTTCCATTACTTTGTTAACCATGCAGGTCTTTTTCTATACCTATTTGTGCCTTTCCTAACCTGTGGTATATATTTTTTCTGACCTTCTAGGAGTGTAGTTTTAAATAATCTCCAAGCTTACCAATGGTTTTGACCCTTTCTACTTTTCTTTTCAGTTTCCTTCTCACATGTCCCCTCATTTCAGAGAAGTTACCCCTTTTAAAGTTAAAAACGGTTGTGTCAGTCTTACTGGGCAACTCCCTATTTATACAAATGTTGAACTCGGTAACATTATGGTCACTGTTCCCAAGTGGTGCAATCACTTTTACATCTCTCACCAGATCTTGGGCATTACTGAGGGCCAAATCTAGGATCGCCTCTCCCCTGGTAGGTTCCATGACCATCTGCTCCATAGCACAGTCATTAAGAGTGTCTAGAAACTCAATCTCTTTTTCCCGACTTGAACACATATTGACCCAATCAACGTGTGGGTAGTTGAAATCACCTATTATGACACAGTTATTTCGTCTAGCCGCTATCTTTAATTCATTCATCACTTTATAATCTTCCTCTATCTTTTGATCTGGTAGGCGATGATAAACTCCCTGTGTTAAGCTTCCTTTTGGGCCCACTATTTCAACCCATAGCATTTCTAGAAGCGAATCCAAGTCTCTTACCCTCACAATCTTACTGGACTGTATACCTCCTCTGACATACAGAGCCACCCCACCTCCAACCCCCCCCCCATCCTTCCGATATAATTTATAACCAGGAATCCCTGTATCCCACTGATTTTCCTTATCCCACCAAGTTTCTGAAAAAAGTTTCTGCCCCCCCCCCCCCAACACCAAGCATTCCAATTCCCCGATTTTACCTTGGACACTTCTAGCATTTGTGCATAAACACCTATAGTTCCCCATGCATGTTAGGCCCACGACCTTTTTCTTGCTGCCTTGAGACCTTGGCCAGACAGTCCATATAGTTAGCCACAATCTCAGTGGACAATTCTAATCCATTTCCATTTCCATGGATTCCATTCCCCATGGGGGGGACAGAAACTTTTTTCAGAAACTTGGTGGGATAAGGAAATGTTAGAGCCCGGACAGGCCCAGGAGGGAGACAGTCCTAGGGCTGCCGAGCTGCCCAACGAGGACAGGGCCTCTCCATCTCTCATCTTCCCCTGCCACTCTCAGCAGCAGGAGAAAAATAAATAAACGTCCATCAGCTCAATGGCATGACATCACTTCTGGGGGAAACCTGGAAATGCCGTCAGTCTTCCCTAGGAATCACTGAAAACTCTATGTCTTTACCCAGCTCTCATTCAAACATGGCTGCTGGCTCAGAGGCATGACGTCACTTCTGGGGGAAACCTGGAAATGCTGTCAGTCCTCTCTAGGAATCACTGGAAAGTCTATGGCTTTACCCAGCTCTCATTCAAACATGGCTGCTGGCTCAGAGGCTGACGTCACTTCTGAGGGAAACCTGGGAAAGCAGTCAGTCCCCTCTAGGAATCACAGGAAGCTCTGTGGTTTCATCCAGCTCTCATTCAAAATGACTCCTGGCTCAGTGGCATGACATCATTTCAGGAGACAAACCTAGAAATGCTGTCAGTCCTCTCTAGGAATCACTGGAAAGTCTATGGCTTTACCCAGCTCTCATTTAAACATGGCTGCTGGCTCAGAGGCATGACGTCACTTCTGAGGGAAACCTGGGAAAGCAGTCAGTCCCCCTCTAGGAATCACAGGAAGCTCTGTGGTTTCATCCAGCTCTCATTCAAAATGGCCCTGGCTCAGTGGCATGACATCATTTCAGGAGAAAAACCTGGAAATGCTGTCAGTCCTCTCTAGGAATCACTAGAAAGTCTATGGATTTACCATAGAGCTTCCGGTGATTTCCAGAAGAGACTTCTGGGTTTTCCCCAAAAGTGACATCACAACATCCCTGACAGCAGCCCGTCTGCCCCCCCCCCCCCCCCGTGCCCCCGGAAAAACCCCCAC